TTTTGGAGACAATCACTATAGAAGTTAATTATTTTTCTCCTATCAACTGAACTGGATGACATGGTAGATAGACCAGGTAAATAGCATTGCTTTGGTTTGGCTGAGGGTTTAAGGCAAAGGGTCCTCTAAAAGCCTTGCTTGTTGGGAACTGGAGTGAACCTGTGGCCAGTAACTGTATGTGTTGTTGCTTTCAAAAATATAGAAGCCTGAAGCAGGGTCATGCCTGAGATCCACACATTTCTAGGGAGTCCTTTGGTGGGTTCACAATACCTCTAAAGTGCGTTCAAAATGGTGTGTGTGTGTGTGTGTGTGTGTGTGTGTGTGTGTTGGAGCCTGTCCCTTTCTTTTAAGATGGTCCATAACTTTAAGCTGAATCTTAAAGGACACCATGAACATGCCCTCACCACCCTCACTACCATCAAATCAATAGACTTGCCATAGGACAACATCCTCTCTTCATGGGCTGGCTGATTTCAGTCCTCCAATCACACATGCCACATTTTAAGCAACTGGCCTTCCTGGATTAAGGCTCTTTCTTTTCCTTGTCCTTTATTACCTACTTCTTCTTTTCACTCAGTATCATGTCCTAGTTTTGTCTGATTCCCACCACAAGATTTCTTGACAATGGGCTTTGTGTTTTTCAAAGAATTCTACCTCGCAAGTGAAGGTGGAAACCAGTCCTAATATTGTGATCCTGACCCTGGCCCTGTCTGGTTTACTCCAAGTCTTGGCCTGTCCACCTCTAGCTACTGCCAACACAGCCAATGACAAGCAGGTGCCTGAAGGAGTATAGAGTTTCACTCTTCATTCACTCCTTTTCTTCAAAATATAACTCAATTAAAAGCATACTTTAATTCCAACAAGTAGTATTTATAATTCTGGTAGATATTTCAAGAGAATACAAAGATAAATAAAATAGTTCTTGCCCTTAAGAAAGTGCAGCTTATGAGATCACAGGGCCAGCAGAATAAGTATTCACACTTAGGTTCCCTACCTCCTATCCACTGCACCCGTCACCCCAGAAGACTGACAATTTTGTCTATAATTAGATTGGTATTGTTTGTGGGATTTCAGATTTTCAACACGGTTTAATAAAGATCTTTATCTTCACTTACATTCTTTAACTCTGTTAACCTCCGTAAAGGCAAATGAAACTAATGTATACAAATGAAAATGTATAAAAAATGCTAAATTAACATTCTGAATAATCCACTCTTTGAAACTCCTATTTTGTCACTTGCATCCATTTACCTATTGGGATAGAAAGCATTTAACAACAAAATTTCCCATCTTAACCATTTGTGAGTGTACCATTCAGCAGTGTTAAGTATAGTCACATTGATGTAAAACAGAACATTTTCATCTCTTAAATATGAAACTCTATCTGAAACTCTGTACCCATTAAATAACTCCTTTCCTTTCCCCTGGTAACCACCCTTCTACTTTCTCTTTCTATAAACTTGACTACTCTAGGTATGTCATACAAGCAGAATCATACAATATCTGTCGTTTTATGAGTAGCTTATTTTACTTAGCATAATGTTCTCAAGGTTCCTTCATGTTTTAGCACATGGCAAAATTTCCTTGCTTTTTAAAGCTGGATATATTCCATTGTATGTATATATCACACTTTGTCTACCTGTCCACTCAATTTTTGATGGAATTTGGGTTGCTTCTATCACTTGGCTATTAAAAGTAACACTACTATAAACATGGATGTGCAAATATCTCTTCAAGACTCTGCTTTCAATTATTTTGTATATATACACTTGCATCCATTTTAACCTATATAAAGAAAATTTGCTCTTAAAGACTGACATTTTGCCAGGATTTTATAAGAAAGTAAATTTTCTGAAAGTATAATAATACAAAGGAATGCTATTTGCTTTTAGAATGTAAATTAAGGAGAATTTTACAAAACTTTTATTTTCTTAATAAAATACAGATATGACAATAGGAAATCTGCTGTCATACTTTATATAAAATATTTTCTATTGGTCAATGATATAGATAAAGAGGCAGATATACACACTTGCGTTTACACATATATATTCTAAAAGAACCCACTTTGGAATAAATTACAGTTACTTTTCAAATTGCAAAGATTGATTTGTATTATCTAGTTATTTTTTTAAAATATCCTTTTCAACTCTTTTGTGCCCACTGGCTTTTACTAACCAACAGGGTAAGAGTAAGAAGAGAGAGTGAGGGCGCTAAAGTCAGTCACACAAGAATGGAGGACAATCATAATGGCTGATCTTTCTGATACTACCAAATAGGAGTTTGTGCAGAATAATTAAGAGTGTTAAGCCATAATTTTATGAGGAGAATTAAATATCAGAGGTGCATTTATAAAAATACCAAGTGTTCCATATTTAGACTTTCATGATCCTAGAATCATAGAACTTATAAGCTTATCAAGCCCTACTCCCTTATTTCACAGTTGGAGAAACACGTTCAAGAGACAAGTGGCCCGTCTAATGTCATCTTGTAATTCCTGAAGCTGGAACAGGAACTCCCTATTATCATTTCAAAATTCTTCTTACTGCATACTACTACAATTACATATATATTTCATCTCCTCCTAACTGAATGTAGCAGGATATAGATGTTCAGACTATATTGATAGGGAAATACTCTTTTTCCTTTTCTTCCTTTTCTTTGTAATAGATGTATGGAATGCAACAGAGTCCCCTCAGCAAATGGGAGGGTTTGAAGATTTAACCTTCACTTCCCTCAAGGAAACAAGATCTCGTTAGGAGTTGCCAATAGTTATTGCTCTGAATTTGAAGACCTATCAAGGTCTGTGGTAGGAGAGCAAAGAATGGATTCTAAAGTACGTAGGCAATATGAAGATCAATGGAGGGACCCCAAGACTACTACGAGGACTTAGAGAAAATGGAATAAGAGAGTAGCTTGGTAATATGAGAACTGGTCATGGGAGGTGCTCAAAAGTAAGACAATCCCTTTCCTAAAGAAGAGTCACATGACAATGCAGAGAACACAGGTAGGCGTCCAGGTATGGATGCTGACCACCCAGCCTACGTTCAAAGGAGGAACTTCTGCAGTCTTCATTCAGGGCCCGCACACTGTATTGGTGGGAATCACTTTGTTAACAGCGCAGCAGAAGTGATAAGTACCCATGTTCCAAAACTGTATTTAATCATTATCTGAAAGTCTCATGTGCCCACCTCCCCAGTGCTGCCTTAGCCCAGCTCACAATGCCCCAGGTAACCAACCTATCTGCTCTAAAAAGGCCCCAACTATGCCTTGCAGATCTAGTAGAAGTAGGGGCACTCCTCTCATCTGTACCTAGAAAGACTGTGTCTAGAATAACAAACACAAGTTTAAGCTCCCTAGAACTGAAGCAATGGCTGTATTAAAGTTTATAAACTCAAACGACTGTTCCTTTCTAAAGAGTTCAGTTTTACTGTTTCCTAAGAATTCAGGACCTTAAAGTGTTTTCTAGTTTTTCTTTCATAAATGGATAAGGAGAAGATATAAAGGACCTTACTTTGTTAATTTATAAAATTTTTAAAATTACCTAATGCTGAGACATTGTGTCTGAAAAGTTCTCTGTTCTTTTAAGTAATTCAACAGATAAAAACGAACCAATGGCGAGGATACAATTTGATGCTCAAGAACCAGGAAAACAAGATGCGTAACTGCGCATTGCCTGTATGATGAATGAAACTTCACTTAACTGAAATCATCTGAAAGTACCAAACATACTACTGTCAATGACTAGTCTTTCAATCATTTTTTTTTTAAGCCAACAAGAGTTTCTAAACACACAGTGGAACAGCAAACTAGATAATGACCTTGCCTTATATCTTTAGATTTCAGTAGATATCAAAACCCTACAAAAATGGAGATTTTTTTTTTTTACTTTTATTTTGTCTACTAGCTTTTCTTAGTTTAGACACTGAAGTTACCAAAAGTGGAGTACATCAATAATGGGCAAACAGACTGTCTAAAAGCAAATGAGTAACAACAAAAAAATTAAGAGATACACAAAGAGTAAAAGAATGCATGAATAAAAATCTACCAGGAAGAATTTTTCCCCCAGTTCAATAGGGCAAAAGATCCACCATAAAAGAAGCAAATAACCATTCTGAGACTTAATTACATTTCAAAGTAATGTAGTTACATGAAAGGAACAAAACATTTTTGTTCAATAGTTTGCCTACCAGATGGCACTTCTAAATATAGTAATCTAAAACCTTCTGTGTGTTCTATAAATAAGATGAAAGGAATAGCAATAATTGCTAAGCATTTAAATCACTGGAAATAAAAGAGCACTTTGATTAGGTTCGGGAAAATCTGGTTTATTCTAATAAGGATCCTGAATCTGGGAAGACTCAAGTTCTAGGTGAAACTCAGAATCCCAACCTCCTGGGACTGCTCTTCTATCTGCTCAAAATGGTTTTCATTCAGGTAGAGAAACAAACGAGGAGCTAATACCAGGAGACTTGGGGAAATCTGAAGTAACTGATTAGTAAGAACTCCTAATCAGTAGAGACTCTAAAGGGCTACAGTCCAAATCCCAAAAGTATTTGGGGGTTTGGGGGTTTTTGTTTTGTTTTGCTTTTGAAATGAAATAGTTGGGGCATGTCCTGTCTTATTTTTGTGAGCTCATGTGTAAATGTGTAACAGTTAAGGACCTGGACTTTAGAGTCAGGCCCAATATGTGAGCCCGGGCTCTACAAACGACTGGCAGGATGCTCTTCGGCCAAGTTCCTTACCTCTTTGAGCTTCACTGGCAAAAACAGAAAGCAATAGTACAGAGTTTTATGGGAATTTACTTATGACAACACTTGGCACTTACTAAGTCCCAATGAATTTCAGCTGTGTAGTATCCCCATTAGTAATATATATTAGCTATAATACATTAGCAAATAATTATGTTTCTGATGTTCTGCTGTTTCAAAGCATGGGATGATGTGCAGCCAGGTTCTCTGGCAGTAATGGAGTTCTAAGAGCAGAACTTGAAGACTTACCTGGCATATCTCCAAGTGGTTTCGCCTAGTATAACACTGGCCTCTTTTCACCTGGCTCTGGAAAGTTATCAAGAATTCATGTGTGGAAGGCGGGCCTAAAGATAGAAGTATTTTTTAACAATTGGTTATCAGAGGTCAGTCCACCCCAGTCTGTCCTCTCGAATGACTTCATTCTCAGTACTCTCAGCTGAAGATCTAGAGGCTTTAGTGAAATGACTCAGAGTTCCTTTTGGATCTGGTGAACTAAAGGCATGTAGGCCCATTCCCATGGACAGCATTGGTCCAACACTGTGATAGCATAGAGCTTATCTTGGCAACTGACCCATGATGTTAAGCAACTTAGTCACTTGGGAGTAGGGTGAGTACCATGAACAAATAAAAGATAAGTTGGAATTGCTTAAACATGATGCAAACTACAATGAATGGAAGACTGGTGTTTAATGGCACTTAAAGTTCTACTCAGTTATTTGATGAATTTTACATGAGGAAAGAGCCATTTTTTTGGGTCTCCAGCCCTCAGCATTAAAAGATGTCTATGGCTAGGTCTTTATATAGAAGGTAATTCCATTTGCTTTTAGTAATTTAAAAATTGTGATAAAATGTACATAACATAAAATGTACCATTTTAACCAGTTTTAAGTGTAGAGTTCAGTAACAATAAGTACATTTGCAATGCTGTATGACCATCATCATCACTATTTCCAGAAGTATTTCATCATCCCAAACAGAAACCCTATGCCCATTAAACACCATCTCCTCATTCCCCCTTCCCCTTTGCTTTTGGTAATTGCTACTTTACATTCTGTCTTTAGGAATTTGCCTATCCTAGGTACCTCATCTAAGTGGAATCATACAATATTTATCCTTCTGTGTCTGGCTTATTCCACTTGGCATACTGTTTTCAAGGTTCATGTATGTTGTAGCATGTATCAGAATTTCATTCCTTTTTAAGGCTGAATAACACTCCATTGTACGCACACACATTTTGTTTTCCATTCATCCACTGATGGCCAGTTGGGCTGCTTCTACCTTTTGGCTATTGTGAATAACGAACACTGGTGTACAAATACCTGTTCGAGTTCCTGCTTTCATTTCTTCATATATAACTAAAAGTAGAATTGCTAGATCATATGGTAATCATTTAACTTTTTGAGGAACAACTAAACTGCTTCTACAGCTGCTGCACCATTCTACATTCCCATCGGCAATGTACAAGGGTTCCAATTTCTCCACATCATCACCAACATTTATTTTGTTTTTCTAATGATAACCATCTTAATGGGTGTGAAATGGCACCTCCTTAGATCTGCTGTGTAAACTATTTTTTAAAACTACAGTTATTATATAGTTGTCTTATTTTGTATATAAAAAGCTACAAACACCCGGTTCAAGGCCCAAAGTGGAAGGTAAAATATGATTATATTTGTTAAATTTTGAACATAATAACAACAATATTTCTCGAAATAAAAAGGCAATCCTGAATTTCAGGGTTGCAGTTAAAAATCATACAGCAAATAAATATACCCATGAGGCTTACCGAAGCTGTCACCTGCACAAAACCACCCTCTGCAAAACCAAACTCTCAAGGCAACAAGAACTGACTCAGACTTGACCGAGTCAGGACCGCACCGGCGCCACCGCGCATGCGCGTCTCCAGGCGCGCGCCCCCTCCCCTGCGTGCCTACGTGCGCGGGCCCGCGCGGTGGAGGGGCGGGGCCCACGGAGCTCTTCGGGCGGCAGCGATGGCGGCTACGTCGAGTTCGATTCGGTTGCAGCGTTGTATAGTGTCGCCGGCTGGGAGGCACAGCGCCTCTCTCATCTTCCTGCACGGCTCAGGTGGATTACAGTTTTACGTCCTAGTTTTCTGCTTGGGAATCGTCCTCCCCTCGGGTCCCCTAGTGTTGCCCTAGTGGAGGAGTCGCTGGGCCTCGATAGGGCTCAGTGGTCTCGGAGAGGACGACCCTCCCCTCGCTAACCCCGCGGCTGTGGACACACGGCCTTCCCCACCGTGTATTCCCTTTTTCGATCATTGGCCCATCGTCCTCGGTGATGGCCCTTGTGTCCCACCACTGGGCCATTCCTCCATCCACACCATTCTCCATCCATTGCAACCCTTGCTACCACCCCGACCCCCTCATTGTTCTCCCTCAAGTTTAAACAGAGCAAGTTAGTAAGGTAAGTTTTCTGCTAGAGACAAATTATTTAGTACTTTCCAGGGTCAGCTGTTAGTGATTGGGGCTTTCAACCGCCTTGGATTATTTGCCACTTTCTTTTTCCAGTCTCTCGTACTGCTGTAGACAATTGAGACAGTTAATATTTGTAAAAGGAGGCACTGTGCCAGGGCTGGAGTACTTTCTCCCTTTCCTTTCTTTCCTGCTACTTCCTTCTTTGTCCTCTTTCCCCTTCTTGTCCTTAAGCCCCCTAGATACAGCACAGAGTCCACTCTCAGTCCCAAGGGCAGATACTCTCCTTCCACTGCTCGCCCTTAGTGGCGCGTGTGCTTAATTCTGTATAGCATTCCTTACACTCATCTGTAATTACTTAAGCCTGTCTTTCCCACTTCACTTCCCCTTCCTCAAGAGTAAGGACCCTTGTTTTATTCTTTGCATCCCTAGTGCTTGGCCTAGGGTAAGTTCTTGGGAAATATTTTTTAAAGAAATGAGATGCAGCCAGTGTCCTCAGGGCGCCTACCTAAAGTTAAAAAACAAAAACAGTTCAATTAGTTTGAGTCAGCAGTGGATGGGAGATCACAAGATGGTAAATGATTTACTGCCAAGAGAATTTTAAGGAAAAAACTGTGGTTAGGCATACTAAGTAAGGCATTTGTAAGATGAAGAGTTTGTCAGGTTTTACCAATTTGACTGAGAGCGTGGGCTTTGAGCTGAGACTTTTGTAGGCTTAAAGAGGATGGTGGTTGGATAATGGAGGGGATTGGAAAGGTAAGAGGTGGAGGCCTGGAAATGGGCACTTGTGGGAAGTATTCTCATTTTAAAAATGAGCCCTGATAAGCTGAACAGCTTGCCCAAGGTCACTTGGCTGTTGCCATGAGTGGTAGTGGAATTAGCGTTCGCACCCAGATCTCTCCGACTCCAGAAGGGGTAAGGTGGAAAAACTCTGAACTAGGCTGTATCATTTTGGAAATAGAGAAGAAATGGGCCAAAGATGTTTAAAGGGAAAGACTTGGCTAATGAAATATATTTAGAATGGTGAAGTGAGGTGTCGAAGAGGACACCAAAGCTTTACAATTAAGAGACTATTCCTGGTACTATTTGGGGCTCCAAGGATGTTCATTTATAAGCATCCAGAAATTCCCGGATACCGTAGTCTTTGTAATAAATAATTTAATTGTTTCGTAATATCTTTAGGAAATACTCCTAGACTTCTCTTTTTTCCTTGGATCACTTTGCTTAAAGTACCATCCTTACTCTTTTCAATTCCAGATTACTGATATTTTTATAAATTGTAAACCCAAATTATATATTTCTCCCTTTGAACTTCGGAACAAAGAATTTATCCAAAGAATTCTGCTAATTATGCAAATGAAATGCAATTCCCGTAGAGTTAGAGCTCCATTGTAGTAAATTAAAACCCTTACTGGAAGTATGATTTTACATTAGACTTTACTATATGTGGTTATGTTATAGGTGTTTGGGTTCTGGTTAATCCAAATACGGCCAAACCAATTTTAATAGTTTTACCACGCTCTTAGAATAAAGTGCTGGCTTTTTAAAAAGTGGGCCTTGTGAATGGATGAATGGATGTTACTTTGTAGCATTAATTTTTGCTTTTCAAGGTTGGAAAAGTGTATTTAGAGGCAGATTTTTTTTTTTTTTTTTAAAAAGGGCTGAAGTTCTCTTCTAGAATATGGCAGCCATAGAAGAACATACGTGAATGTGAGTAAGATATAGCCAACTTAATTTGAGCCTTTCCTACTACTAAAATACCAAAGAAGTACCTTTTTTCAGGATAATAAAAACAAACAATAGTTTAATTAGCTTTGTTCAGCTTCCCAGCTTAGATTAATTCACTCTGTTGTATGCTCCTTTAGAACACTGTGGTAATTCTTTTAATGGTATTCATATTTGTAATTACCAAATTTAATGTCTATAGTCCACACTGTGCTGTAAGGTTCACACAGATCCAAATCGTGCATATCTTGCTTTCTCCTCATGCAGTAAGTCTCAGCAAACTGAGTTGGTTCTTATTAAAGTTACTAGTAATTTCTGTGTTGCTAAATGTGGGGAACATTTTTCAGTCATCTTATTTGAACTATCTTCAACATTCAGTGTTCTCGAAACGCTTTCTTGTTTTTTTCTACCTGTTTATTCCTTTTAATTGATTTTGCGCACTCATCCTGTTCTCTCTCCATTAATGTTGGGGCTCCTCAGAATTTGGTCCTATGACCTCTTTTTTCATTTTGCATTTTTCTCTCCAGGCTAATGTGCATATATGCCTGAGTATTCTGTCTTTTCCTCTATATGGTGACATAAATTTGTGTCTCTATTTTAATTTTCCTTCAAGTTCTGGACAAGTTTATCCCACTGCCTAATAATCGTTCATTTATTAATCCATTCATTCAAGAAATATCTATTATATGGCCACTGTGCAAGGCACTATTCTAGGCTCCAGGCATATATTAATGAACGAAACAAACAAAAATCCCTGTTCTTGTATTTATTTATTTATATGACAGAGAGCGAGCGAGAGAGGGAACACAAGCAGGGGGAGTGGGAGAGGGAGAAGCAGGCTTCCCACGGAGCAGGGAGCCCGACGCGGGGCTCGATCCCACTACCTTGGGATCATGACCTGAGCCGAAGGCAGATGCTTAACGACTGAGCCACCCAGGCACCCCAAAAATCCCTTTTCTTGTGGAACTTACATTCCAGTGGAGGAAATATTATATAGTGGATAGTAGTAAGTTCTATGGAAAAAAGAGAAAGCAAGACAAGGAGGATGGAAGGTGTCGGGGGTGATAGTTTTAGATAAGGTGGTCAGAGTAGGCCTCACTATGAATGTGGTACTTAGGCAGCTGGACTTGAGTGAGTGAATCATGTGGATGTTGGGTTAGAATGTTGCGGACAACGGAGAACCTGGGACAGAGGCCCTGAAGTAGGTTCCCCGACATTCATGGGAACAGCATTCAGCAACCATTTCAGGTTTTGTGGGCCAGAATGGTTTCTTGGACATTTTTCTTTTCTGCCTCTCTTCCCTTTTCTCCTTTATTTTTTTTTAGCAACTCTTAAAAAATGTAAAAACCATTCATAGCTTACAGCGTTTGTCTTGCAGCTGATTGTAGAGGTAGAGGACCTTGTAGGCAGTATAGCGAGTATAGACCCACTGATTCAGGTGTTTCCTGTCTCAGTGTGTAGTTCCATTGTTCACTCAGTTATCCTGGCCAGAAACCTCACCGTCATCTTTGAAACCTTCACCATTGACCCCCCCATAACTAATCTATTACCAATCCCTATCTTTTTTATCTCCTAAGTATCCTTGTACCTATTCGCGTACATGCCATTGCTAGACCCCTAATTTAAGCATCTGTCACCTGGACAGTAGCCTCCTAATTGATCTCCCCACACCTACTTTTGTTCTCCCCTCCTGTCTTCACACAGCTGCCAGAGTGACCCTTAGAAGATGGCCACCTTTCTGCCAAAAAATAGGTCCATGCTGTTAGGATTTGTCACATCCCTATAGTTTCTCTGGCCTCATCTTGCACTCACTGCTCTTTCCCTCATTCCTAAATGTCCTCCTCCTCCTTCCTGTAAAGGATATCAGCATTTGCCATATTCTCTCCGAGTTGCTCTTTCCTTGTGCGCTTCACTTTTCACCATCCTGTAGATCTGAAAACTGTCAGTTTGTGTCATTTGTAATCTAGGCATTAAATTAAAAAAATAACACTGGATAAAATACAAAATGAACTTCACTTTGCAGAGCTTATATTCTAGTAATGTTACCCCTGACCTCCTTAGCTGGGTCGCTTCTGAATGTAATAAACCCTGGCAGCACCAAGTGTCTCATCTTTGCAGTGGTTACATTTGTCTTTCATCTTTATGTATGATTGTTTGACTTATGTGTGTTTCTCACAATAAACTGTACCCTCAGTGAGAGTAGGGACCCTTTCTTCCTCATCTTGCCGAGCAGAGTGCCTGACGCAGTAATAGGTATTCAGTAGATATATTTTGAGTTGATGTCTTAATGAGCTGATTTAAACAATTAAAAGTTGTTACCTTTAAAATTTCTTCTTCATGACTACATAACATGGACCTATATTTCCTTCCTTTTTTTTTTTAATGGAAATATCCATACATTAATTCTTGCATGGATTTTGATTATTTTTCAGCCTTGGGATGTATAATCATTACTTTACATCATGTAAACCTGTTACCAAAATTAAATTTAGATTTCTTCAAGTTAAAAATAAGGTTTGCTAAATACCCCTTTTGAAAGATCTTGTTATTTTAACCAAAAAAATTGTTTTAGGTTGGTCCAACTATAAAAGTTTATATTCACTTCAGAAATTTAATTTTTTTTTTTTTAAGATTTTATTCATGAGAGAGCATGAGCAGAAGCAGGGGGAGTGGGAGAGGGAGAAGCAGGCTCCCCGCTAAGCAGGGAGCCCGATGTGGGGCTGGATCCCAGGACCCCGGGATCATGACCTGAGCCGAAGGCAGACACTTAACGACTGAGCCACCCAGGCGCCCCAGAAATTTAATATTTTTAAGAGTAAGATAAGAAATGACAGTGTTTAAAATCAGATACGGAAAGAATTTTTTTTTTCGAAAAAATAATTTACTTCATGTATTTGTGCCTGTTACACCCTTTAAACAAACAAGGAAACTTAAAACTCAAACAAGGTCTTTAAAGTGATCAGTGGTGAAGTTAGGAGTAAAACTATCTAAATTGTTCTTAGTTATTGATGCCTGATCAATTAATTCATGTTGATAAATTGGTTTCTATGCAGTTTTTTTTATATATGGAGATTTTTTTGTATTCCTTGTTCCAGCCTCTGTATGATATGAAAGCTACAGACTTGCTTTTAAATACACTGTGTTGTCAAAATGTTTTATCTTAATCTACATTTTGTGATCCATCAGGTGATTCTGGACAAGGATTGAGAACGTGGATCAAGCAGGTTTTAAATCAAGAGTTAACATTCCAACACATAAAAATTATTTATCCAACAGCTCCTCCCAGGTATGCAGTAATTTATCTCACTGCTCAGTATAACTGTGGCATAAAATGTATATAAATAGATGTACTAGCTAAATGTTCTTTAAACTTAATTCTGTATTTAAAGTATTTTGAATTGGGGTACCTTTTCTTCTAGAACTTTTTTTTCCCCCCAATTCCACGATTGGGCCAGGTTCTGCGAGGCAGGTAATTTCTTCCCTCTTTGTAAAGCATTCCCTGAAGGTCTTAACTTAAACTTTGTCCTAAGCACACCTACAGAACTCTGCTTCCTCTGGCCCTGCAGATTGCTCATCTTTCAAACTCTCTTTTCCCTTCATTTACCCCAAAAAGAAACTAATAGCTCCCAACAAGTATAAGCTTTCTAATTTAGTTATGTCAGAGTTCATAATCTCTGGCAAAGGGTTTTGTGGCATGCTTTCTACACTTAAAAAGTTTTAGAAACAATGTTAAGCTTTTTGAATCAGTAAACCATAATAGGAATATGGAATTGACTACTTAATAAATATTTAGATTATACAACCGGTAGATGTGTTTAACAAAATGCACAATCATGAGATTGGTATAGTTTTGAAGTCATACTGCTTTTTATAATTATTTAGTTAGCATCTGCATAGGCTTTTATTCTGAGCACATGCTTTAAACTGGGGTTTGCAAATACTTTTTTGGGTAACCAAGATTATGTGCTGAGCTATGCATCCCACTCTGATTTCCCATTAATCTGTTCTTGATTTATTCTTATTAATTATACGTGTGCTTATGCAAAGGCATTTTTTTATTTTTCTATTAACTTAGTGTTAAGGAGAATCAGAACCAGAACTTCAAGGACTTTTTTATGTACAATTAAGATTTTACTTACTGCAATTGATAGAACTGAAAGAGTTAGAACAATAAAATGATAATTTTGTTGTAAAATTTAAGATTCAAAAAAAGTTATTTTTATATAATTTTAGAGGAATTTAGTAGTTTGGTAGTGCAAATAAAAGACCTACTGATCAAGGGGTTAATTTTGTGTTGTAAGTTGAATGTCTTTGAAATGTCAAAAGAGCTTGTCATTTGCTATTGGTTTTTAGGGTAAGTGAAGTTTGGAAGGAGAAAGACAGTGGTATTCCTATGGAAATGGGAAAGATAAGTTCATTTCAGCCTAAATATAATCGTAATTGTCTGACTAAATTGAATGGAAGATCATTGGAAACAGATTCTAGAATTAATGCTTTCAGCTTAGGAATTTTATATCATTGCCAGTTTTTTTTATTATGTTATGTTAATCACCATACATTACATCATTAGTTTTTGATGTAGTGTTCCATGATTGTTTGCGTATAACACCCAATGCTCCATTCAGTACGTCATCAGTTTTGATACGTGTTCCAGACCAGTGGATCTCAAACTTTAGGCCCTGAGAATCCAAAAATCTCCATGTGCACTCAGTATTATTTGTGGATGCTGTTGTGTTTAAGTAAAATATAAAATCACTGAAATATTTCACTGAATTCAGGTAACTTTTTGGTATTATATATTTTCATCGTCAATACCTATTTGAACAGATCATCAAACATTTTAGACCATGCTAACCAATGAAATAAAATATGAGCCACATATGTAAAGTTAAGTGTTCTTGACACCACATTAAAAAAAGGAAAAACAAACAAGTAAATTAATTTTAATAATATATTTTATTTAACCCATTATATCCCAGATATTATCATTTCAACATGTAATGTTGAATCAGTATAAAATCAATATAAAATTATTAAAGTGATAATTTACATTCTTTTATTCTTTCTAAATCTTTGCTGGTATATATTTCATATGTGCAGCATATCTCCATTTGGATGCTGATCGATCAATTAAATTTATATTAAATAAATAATTATTTCCTCAAAGAAAACAAAAACACTAATTTGAAAAGATAGATGCACTCCTGTGTTTATTATTGCAGCGTTGTTTATGGTGACCAAGATATGGAAGCAACCGAAGTGCCATCAGTAAATGAACGGATAAAGATGTGGTGCGTGTGTGTGTACACACACACAAACACACACACACACAGGAGTATTACTCAGCCATAAAAAAAAAATGAAGATCTTGCCATTTGCAGCAAGATGGATGGACCTAGATGTATTATGCTAAGTGAAGTAAGTCAGAGAAAGACAAATACCACGTGATCTCACTTCTATGTGGAATGTAAAAAAACCAACGAACAAAGAAAGAAACTAAAAAACAGAGTCTTAAATACAAAGAACAAACTGATGGTTGCCAGAGGGGAGGTGGGTGGGGGATAGGTGAAACAGATAAATGGGATTAAGAGGTACAAATTTACAGTAATAAGTAAGTCACAGAGATGAAGAGTACAGCATAAGGAATATAGTCAAAATGTTAACATTTGACGGGTGGTGACTACATTTATCAGTGGTGAGCACTGAGTAATGTATAGAATTGTTAAGCATGTTGTATACCTGAAACTAATATAACACTGTATGTTACTTACACTTCAATAAAAAAATTACATTAAATAAAAGTGAAAGTTAAGTACCTGGTTAAACTAGGTACATTTTTAGATGCTCTATAGCTCCGCGTGGCTGGGAGTTACCATTTTGGGCAGTGCAATTTTAGACTTTTAAAAGGAGGTCCCATACATTTATAGTATGTTAGGGACAACTGTCCTAGATCAAATCATTTTTACTTAGATTTCTCATGGGTTTTAGTGCTTGAACTTGTAAGATTTTTTTTTTTTTAATGATGAGACGATTTAAATGGTTAGTTCTCAAGCAAGGATGATTCTTCCTCCGAGAATATTTGCAGTGTTGGGAGACATTTTTGTTTGTCACAGCGGGCTGGGGAAGCAGCATAAGAGGCTCCGGGCAGCTAGTGGGTAGAAGCCTGGGATGCTGCTGAGCATCCTGCACTGCTCGGGACAGCCCCCACAATAGACCGTTATCCAGCCCCAAATCACAGTGGTGCCTAGGCTGAGAAACCCTGCTTTAAAATTACACCTCTGTTCCCACACATACCAGATGATTAGTATCTTGGTTCTCTGTTAGGAAAAAAAAAAAATGTTGCAGTGTGGTCAGCTGTTTATATTTTAGAAAAACAAATATCTGAGGTAATTAAAGTATGAATGGCATCATTGTCTTTGAATCAATACAAAAAGAAGTTGAGATTGCACCTAAGAACAGGTCTTTATGTACTAGGCTTTCTTTATTTTTAGATTTAATTACTCTAGGTCAGAAACATTAAATACAAAAGTCCACTTTCCTTCAGAATTTACTCTTGAGAGCATGGGATTGTGAAGCTTTGCTTCCCTGTTTTCACTGGTTCTAAGATTCCTAAAATGAAGAAATAAAAACCTTACAATTGAATAAACTTTGCAGTTTCCCGTTTAAGAACTCAAGGGCTTTTCAAAAATTTTCAGAGATAGTGTATATATGTGTTTTTACTATAAGATCTACAGATCTGCGTCATGGGGTATTACATCTCAGACCTCTATCTTTGATTGGAGGCATCAAATAAGAGAGTGAAATGAAATGCATGTAATTAAGGATAATAATGCCAGTTAATTTGCTGTCAACATACAATTCAAGTAAGTTTGTAAAATGTTTATTGCTTTCAAACATAAGGACCAGAACCCTCAACTGACCTAGCAAAGTTATTTTGTGTCACATATTCAGCAAGTTGTACATTCTGTAGCTCTGCTGTATTTCATTGGTCCTTTCGCACATTGGAAATCAAATGTCACTGACCAAGGATTACCAATGGCTCCAGACCTTTGGATTTTATGATCTTCTAAATGTCAGAAGGGATCTTATAACAGGCAAGTATAACAAGCAAGAACTGGTTCAGTGTTTTATTATATTAGAAAATCTGTTTCAACATTACTGTGAAATCATTTTTCTTTTGTTCCATGAACAGTGCAGAAATCAGCAAGTCTTACTTCCAGATGTCTCAGACTCTTCAGAACAATTAGAAACTGTATTTAATATGCAGTTTAAAATTACAAGATCTGAACTATTTTCATTCAAATATGAACCATATCTCTATTGACTGAGGATTTTTTCAATCTTAGTTCATCTTACATCTCATTGTAGTTTTGGTATATGCTCTTTCCTTTCTGTTCTAATGTATTTCCAGATTATTTTTACTTAAGTACATGGGCATTAAAGGCATTGAATTGAAGACACTAGATAGTGTTTACAATTCAATAATATTTTATTCTCTTGTTCTATTGAAATTGGTGATGATGCTTCGTTAATTTCGTGGTGAATTAAATGTAATACATTTTAAGGGTTTTCATATTTTTAGACCTAATTTTCTGTCCCACAAATGATCATTTCTTAGTTTTTTCCCATTAAATTATGTTTGGTAGTTATGTATTATGACTCCTGTTTACCATCTGGCCTCTTCAGTATGCCTTTTCCAGACTATTCAATCAGTCCAGCCCTAATGCCCTCAGATTTTAGAACTATTAGTGGTGATTTTATATAAATATAGTTAATAAAAATTTGTCCTAGAGGAACAACATTTTGGAAACCTTTTGCATTTTTCTAACTAAAAGTAAAAACTTGAGTAAACCACAAATATCATAAAAAGTAGACAGCCACTGTTAAGACTATCATCCTATCTTTAATATCTTTAATGTCTTATTTGTTTATTTAGTTTTGCAAATGTGAGTTCATACTAAACATACAATTATAAATTCTGCCTTTTTTTCACTTAATACTATATTTGATGATTTCTTCCTATAACAATTTCTCACTGAAATATAGAAAACTGTTTTAATAGCTATAGAATATTCTTCTAAAATTTATTCTTTTGTAGACTGTTTTAGTTTTTATCCTCAGTTTATCACTATATATATCTATTTATCCTATTTCTGATTTTCCTTCAGGAAAAATTCCTAGAAAGTACTCAGAGGCCTTATAGTCAGTTCCTTTTTGTTTAAGGGATTAGCTCTTCTAAATTGTTTTCCAAGAATGGACAGTTTGCATTATTACCAACAGTGTATTAGGATACCCACTTCGCCGAACACTTACTAGCATTAATTTATTTTAAAAACAGTTTCTACTTTTATTCCTGAGGCTCTCTAAGGGTTATCTATCAGTTATCAAATAAACAATGCTTTCAGTATCACTAAATCAGCCTAGCAGTTTACTAATTTAATGTGTTTAGGTAAAGATAGATAGATAGATAGATGATTTTTTTCCTTTTACACTCAAAATTCTTTAAATATTTTTTTCTTGGTCACAAAATTGTTGCCTTTACAATGAGATCTACTTTATAATTTAACAGCCTCTAAAAAATAACAGACTGAGAAGAAAAATACATAGAAGTATCAAAACAGGAACAGAGTACTAATTTGTTGATTATTTCTAAGCTTAGTTAATGGATATAAGCTTTGGAAATATGTATAGTTACATTTATGTTTTATTCATTTTCGTGCCATTTATATTTAAGTGTATTATATGTTAATAAAAGTTATGTGATACATATCCAGAGTGACAAATATAGTAATATATAAGCAATAAATTCACTTGTTATTCCTTCTGATTACTTTGAATCAGCAATCTGATATGTGCTATACAATGTGCAATCTTTGAGAAACCAGTACTTCAGTTAAGGAGGAAAAGTGAAGACTTTTAGAAATATGTCATCTAATACTTTTTTTTTTATGTTATGTTAATCACCATACATTACATCATTAGTTTTTGATGTAGTGTTCCATGATTCATTGTTTGCATATAACACCCAGTGCTCCATGCAGAACGTGCCCTCTTTAATACCCATCACCAGGTTAACCCATCCCCCCACCCCCTCCCCTCTAGAACCCCTAGTTTGTTTTTCAGAGTCCATCCTCTCTCGTGGTTCATCTCCCCCTCCGATTTCCCCCCCTTCATTCTTCCCCTCCTGCTGTCTTCTTCCTTTTTTTTTTTTTAACATATAATGTATTATTTGTTTCAGAGGTACAGGTCTGTGATTCAACTAATTCTTATTTAAAATAAAATTGTGAAGGCTGTTAATGAAGAACTTATCAGTTCTGGGTCTTAATTTTCACATATCTAAAATGAACTGATGGGACTAGATTTCCAAAATCCTTTAGTCATTAACTTTTTGAATTTTAGGTCCCTTCAGATTTTATGGAGTATAAATAAGAACCAGTAATGTAATACTCTTTTTTTTGCCACAGTGTTGGACCAATAGGTCAGGGAAATATCCAAGATATCATATTGTTCAGTAGGCTATTGAAGATAGAATTATTGTGGTACAGTGGTTAAGAATACGATCTTTGGATTCAGCAGGCCTGGGTTTGAATCTAGATTTCTCTATTTAAGTGCTGTAAGATCTTGAGCAAGGTATTTCACCTCTCTATTGGTGTCCCAATTTCCTGAAGTGCAAACTGGAAGTAATAATTATATCTACCTCAGAGAGTTGTCATGAGAATATATGGTGTTATTGAATATATATGTAAATTCCTCAGCATGATGTCTGACATAAAATAAGCACTGAATAAATGTTAGTTATTAATAGTAATCTGTGATATCCTTGTGGGCAGGATGTAGAAATATTATCCAAAGAATTAATTGCTGATAATCCTTGAAGAAATTTTCCAGACCTATGTGTGTGGGTTGTATTTTCAAGGAGTATTTGGGCTAGCAGTTTTATTTTCATATACATGAGTTTTATTTTCATACTGTTCAAATTTCCAGATGATGTAAAGCTGAGAAAAATAATGAATATATTGAATAACAAAATGGAAGTCTGAAATGATCTGATCATCTAGAGTAGGATCAGCAAACTACAGCCTGTGGGTTAAATATGGCCTACCACCTATTCTTATAAATAAAGTTTTATTGGAATACAACTACATTGTCATTTACATATTATCTATGGTTGCTTTTGTGCTACAAAACAGAGTTCAGTAGTTGCCAAAGAGACTATATATGGTCCACAGAGCCTAAAATATTTACTCTATGGCTTTTACAGAAAAGGTTTGCTGACCCCTGGTCTAATGCAGTAGCTTTCAGAATTTTTAAATTCCAGCTCACAATGGGCTATATATTTTACTTGCTGATCCTGTACATACGTTTCAGTGATTAAAGTATTACCAATGCTAGAGTATAGGGTTGCCAGCTTTATTTAGCAAGTAAAGAAACTATATCTGGAACATACTTATACTAAAAAAAAGTATTTATTGTTTATCTGAAATTAAAATTTAACTGGTGTCCTGTATTTTATCTGCAACTCCATCTGGTTGTTACCCCCAGAGAGTTTGATTTAATTGGCTTGGGATGTGGCCAAGGCAGAAAGATTTTTAAAAGCTTCATTTCTGATTCTCGTAGGCAGCCAGAGGTGAGATCCACTGGTCTAGCAATCATAAAAGTCTGAAGTAGGTCACTGTGGTGGAAATGTAATACAAGCATTCAGTTCAAGAGAGATTCACACAACAGAGACTGGGAAAAATTGAAAATTAGGGGAAAGGAGAAGGTGGTGATGTTAAGGTAGGGAATCTATGACAATATTACACATGCAGTGATTGAACATGCAATGTGTTTTGTTTGGGGCATTTTAAATTTAATATACTGGCCCAATGTTCATGAGTCAGCACCCAATTGGAAGGATTTTTTTTTTTTTTTTTTTTAGCTTTACAGTTAATTGGAAAATTGGAATTTTAAACTGGAAGATAATTGTTTTTAAAATATACTGTTCCCAATAAGAATCATCTGGGATATTATTAAAATGTGGATTTTTAGGTTACAGTCTCTTAGATTCTGATTGAGTAAGTATGAGATAGAGGTCATAATTTGCAATTTAAGGAGCACCACTTCTCATGTAGGTAGATTAAAGTATCAACCATTTGTACTCAAGTATACCAGCATATTTATATAAAAAATTACAGAATCTTCCTTCCCACCTCTGAAAATGGAAGCAGATTTTGGATGTGATCTGGCTCCCTGCATTTTCTGCATCAAAATTTGAGAGCTCTTACTTTGGAAAATATAGGTTAATTTGAAATGGAGTTTTAAAAACATTTTTGCAGGAGATAACTTTCTATTTTTTTTTTAATTTTTTAAATTCAGTTAACATAATGTATTATGGGAGATAACTTTTTAAATGTCTTTATTATTTACATGCTTGAGATTATTAGAGATATTAATTTTAAGTTTGGAAAAAGACACTAATCAAAAAGCAAAAGGAGGGGAAAAGATACGCTATATAAACAGTAAACATAGGAAAGCTGACATAGTATATTATTATTAAATAAAGTATACGTCAGGGTATTACCAGAGATAAAAATGAATATTTATAAGCTAAAAGTAGATATTAAAGAGGAAGACTTAATAATACTGCTTATAAGCACATGCAGAGGAAACTGACAGAACTAAAGGGAGAAGTAGACTGATCTACAATCATAGTTGAAGATTTTAATACTCATTCTTCAGGATCTAATAGGATCTGCTGAGCAGGGAGCCCTGATGCTGGGCCAGAAGGAGGTCCTTGACTCTGTTCGACAATGTATGGAAGTTCAAACAAGCGCAATAAGGCAAGTTGATGAAATAAAAAGAATAAAGGTTGAAGAGGAGAAAGTAACAGTGCCTTTATTCCCAGATGATATGACTGTTTACACAAAGATCATAAGGAATCTACTAAGTAACTACTAGAAATGAGTGAATTTAGGAAGACAGCAGGATGCAAGAACAAGACACTAAAATGCATTTTTATGTACTTACAACAAATAATAGTATAGTATGTCTTTTTTTCATCTTTTTGCTTTTAGCCAATCTATATCATTATATTTAAAGTGGGTTTCTTAAAGACATCATGTATTTGAGCTTTGTTTTTTCTCTTTAACCAATGTGATGGTTTCTTTTAAATGATTTGTTTAGACCATTTACATTTAATGTAATCAGTGATAATGTTTGACTTTAAGTCTACAGCTTTTTCTTCCTCTTTCTCCCTGTGCTATCTTCTTTATGGATAATTTGAATTTTGTTAATATTCCATTTCGACTATGTATTTTTATTTTTTCCCAATTCTAGGGATTACAAGATATATATCAAACCTTTCACCTAGTTAGATTTTTACTTGACATGAAATGTAGGAAGCACACAACCATATAGTTACCTTTATCTCCTCCCCCCGTTATGCTTGTCGTATGTATTTCATTTACATATATTGAAAACCCTATCAAAACACAGTTACAATTTTTGTTTTCACTAGTCATACATATTTTGAAGAGCTTAAGAAGAGAACAATAGTCTGTTATATTTACCAAGTTGTGGTCTATTACAGCATGTCAGTATGTTTTGATTAAATTGTAAATTGCCATTTTGACTATAAGGTATCCTTTTCCTCAACCCTATTTAATAGATGTTTTTAATCAGCTAAGTTAGGGGTATATTAAGTAAAAGTCGGCAGTTAACTTGCCATGTTGATTTAAATGGAAAATATTGCTTCATTTTTTTCATTATTAATTTGAACTCTATTTAATTGAAGTGCTCAATAAAGATTTTTGTTTCTAAAGCAACTTTAGTTGTATTTGTAATTAGAGGTTTTCTTGGTTTGGGCTTACTATTAGAATTTCCATTTTAAAAATAATAGCAATTTTTTAACAAGCCAATTAATAACTTATGATATAAATTGCTCTCATTGTTTTGAAAAATTCTAGCAGTAATAAGATTTGCATAGTGCCTCTACTTTTTGATTACTATTTTTCCAGGGAAGTGTATGTTTATATTTTTTATTAAATGTATTCCAGAACAGGGTTAGGTACTTTAGATTTAGGTGTAGATAATAATGGATTCATTTTTACTCTGTTACTTGAAATTCAATTCCTATCTGAAGCACAATATTTGGAGATCGCTCTCCTGATACCAATAGATCTGTACTTCAAGTACACTTCACTGGCAAGGAGTGTACTAAAAACAGCTATTTTGAAGAAATAGTTTTACTTCCTTGGTAATTATTTTAAATAGCACACTTAAATACCTATTTGTATGTAAAAACTTTTCTTAGAAACATGGTTTTTTTTTAAGCAACAAAAGAAAAATTTGACCTTTTCCTAGAAATCGCAATATGGATTTTATACAAAGTCAAAAGATATTCAGAGCAAAATAGACCAATATTAGATAATTCTCTTATTTCCAGCTGACCCAAATTATTCCCAGTGACACAAATGATTATTGACATTCATCATTCAACAAATACTTGTTCTTGGCACCCAGGGTATTGCTGTGGAAAAGAATCAATGGAAAATATAAGAGCAACTAAATATATTCATTTCAAATAGTGATACATTCTGTTAAGACAGGTAAATAGAATAATGGAATAGAAAGAGAGAGTGTGTGTGTGTGTGTATGTGTGTGTGTTTTAGGGCGGAGGGGAGATACACTTTAAATTGTAGGGTCAAGGAAGACTTCCTTAAGGAGGGGAATATTTGAGCTGAGACCTAA